TTAAATAAATGACATAAATGTTAAAAAAATATATGGTAGTTATCCCTGAGGTCTAAGATTTTGGATGATTTTTTGCTTTCTTTAACATTTTCTAGTAATCACAATTTTCTTACAATAAGCATAATAGATGGTATACTTTTGAAAATACAAAAAAATAACCTTGCTCACTATTTGCCCAGAAACATTAAACAAAAGCTTAACAAGTACGGATCCTCCAGGAAAATTCATGATTCTTAGGGCTCCTCTTCCTCCCTGGCACGTGAACTTGAACCCACAGAGACTGTCTCCCAGTGACAAAAGCAGGCTTTAAAAACTTCCTACTAGGAAAGATTAGCAGTGTGTGCTACGTGTACCAAAAAAATTCCAGCTGTAAATACCCTTAAGTGTCATTTTGTGTGTTATTTCTCTATTTGCTTAGCTGTCTGCTCGTGTGTTCTCCATCCTAGATGCGCATTTCTGTGCTTCGCCTTAACAAATGTTCTCTTGGGACAGAAGCTGGCTGATGGGCCTTCACAGAGGTTGCCAACAGAGTGTGACAGCAACTGGAAACTCCAGCATTGCTTTTGACGCTGCCACTGACGACCAATAATTATCTCCAGCACTAACTCATGCAACAAATGTTCTGGATGCCACTAGAAGTATGGCTCAGAAAAGTGGAAACACTGGGCATGTCTCTCGTGGGAATTGTTCCGAAATGGTGAGCTTCCATTCAACAATCACTTTTTCACCTGTTAAGCACCAGGTATCACCAGAAAAATAAGCAGGCTCAGTCAGGTTCACAGTCAAATGCGAGTTGATGGCTCATCTTAAGCAATTAACGGTTAATATCTGGGCCGGCGCTGTGGCATACTAGGTTAAGCCTCTGCCTGAAGCACTGGCATCCCATTTAGGTACTGGTTCATGTCCTGGCTGCTCCTCTTCCGATCCAGCTCTCTGCTGGTGGCCTGGGAAAGCAGTGGAAGATGGCCCAAGTGCTTGGGCCCCTGCACCCACGTAGGAGACCCAGAAGAAGCTCCTGGCTCCTGGCTTCTGATTGGTCCAGCTCTGGCTGTTGCAGCCATTTGGGAAGTGAACCAGTGGATGGAAGACCTCTCTCTGCCTCTCCCTCTCTTTTCGTCTCTCTATGTAAAATAACAAAATATATAGTTAATGTCTAGTCATTCCCTGGGCCTTCTGGAAGAGGGAAAGGTGCTGACCTGAGGCCAGTCTGCTTTATTTCTCACATGCATGAAAAAAACAAGTCCAGTTCCCACTTTCTGAGAGCATAGAAAAGAAAAGATCGCTGGGCGTTTCTCCCTATTTGAGAATCCTGAGGGGCGTGTCTCCCACCTGGGGGTTTCCACCTCCCAGACAACAGGTGCTTTTCCAGGAATGGCCCCAGGGAGCATCTCCAAAGAGTGTCTGTTAGGCCTCATGAGGCTGGGATTTAGCCGAGCACAGAGGGCAGGGAGGCCGGGGTAGAGACTGTGGAGGGAGACAACCATTGAAAGGACAGACTTGGGCTCTGGGGGTGGAGAACCCCACGTGTCACAGTTCCTGACCTGTGCGGATTATGGCACAACCGGCATGCTGAGCCAATGTGCCACCTGCCCTAGGGATGCCAGCAAGAACAGGCCACACCGTTCATCTCCTGTATGTGACCATCCACAGTGCCAAAACACCGTGGGGACTTCTGGGATCCCACTTCCAGGACTGGATGCAGAAGACACTGCAGGACACCAGGCCCTGTGCCGTCCACCCTGTCCGCACCAGTAGCAACAGATCAAAGGAAGGGAGTCTAAGCATTATTATTACGATTTTTACAAGAAGGCCCCACAACTTCATCCCCACACCCTGTGAGGATCTCTTTAGCCGCTGTAAAGGCAGGCAAAGGTTTCAGAGCCTGGCTTGAAAGCAGAAGCTTCGAGCTTCCAGCCAGGGACGGACGAGGAGCTGTAGGCCCGGGGCAGAGGCACAGGCGTCCAGATCTGGGGTTCATGCTCCTGCCTAGGAGGGTCTCATCGGCCCTCCCCGCTCTTTCCAAATGAGGGACTGCTCTCCACATTTCGCCCACACTCAGCAGCCACGCCCCCGTGCCGATGACTCAGCCAGGGTTCAGAGCCCAAGAGGAACTGCCAAAATGGGCAACGGTGCTCCTCCCAGTGGCACAGGGCACCCCCAGACCTGAAGGACCCAGCCTGGCCGGTCTTCCCAGGAGCCCGGCACAGCCATCGGAGTGGAACGCCCCAGCAGGGTCTCATTCCCCTCACTCCTTTGCCAGTCCCAGTCTGCCTACCGCCTCCCTTTCCAGCGACGTTGGTTTCTCACTTTCTCCCTCATCATCTTCAGGTGTGTCTGGGAATTTAGATGGAACAGACAAAGCTCCTGTTCTGGTGCAGCCCTGGGAGAGGGGTCCCACTCCCTCACAGAAGGGGGGGGGGGCACAAAACAAACACCAAAGTCCGAGAAAGTCCGGGCGCCATTGGCCCTGCCTGTGCGGCTTTTGAGCACTGGAAATGCATTAAACGCACCTGCAAGGCTGAATTTTGCAATGTCACTCCTTTTTAACTAGTTTGAAGTTCAGTGCAAAAACTGACCATTTGGTGTAGCAGTTAGGATCTCTGTATCCTGTATCAGAGTACCTGGGTTCAAGTCCTGGCTGCTCCTGTGCACCCCAGGAAGTAGCACATGATGGGTCTCTGTTACCCACGCAGGGGACTCGGACTGAGTTCCGGGCTCCTGGCTTGGGCCTTGCCCAGACCCAGCTGTTGTAGGCATTTGGGAAATGAAGCAGTGGATGGAAGATTCTCTCTCTCTCTCTCTCTCTCTCTCTCTCTCTGCTTTCCAAATGATTTTTTTTTAACTGACCATTTGATTCAGTTATCAGAAAGCTTAATTATATGTGATATGACTTGGGTTTGTTAATCTCTGAGAGATCTTCAAAAAGTTCATGAACATGCATATTATGAAAAAATACACAGAAGTTTTCAAGTATTTTTGCACCAAAATAAGCTTCTCATTTGGTCCCATTTTTTATGGACTTCTTGAAGTACACTTATAGTTCCTCAAACAGTTCTTGTAACTGTTGTGAAATCTAAACATGGATCAGGTGTTTCCAATGAGAATTCAGAGTCTGAAATTAGTTGTGCTCTACACGTACGGTGGAGTTGGGAGCCTTAGTAAGGAAAGTATAAAATATATCACTAACAATTTTTATACTGCACATGTTGAAATGATATTTTAGGTATATTTTATTAAATAAAATATATCATTAAAATTATTTTCCCATTTCTTTTTTATATTTTTATTCATGAATTACATATTTATATAGTTGTATATAATTACAGGATAGCAAATGAAGCAGTGCTATGGGTTTTAAATACAATGTGATATGATAAAATCAAGCTAATAAACCTATCCATCACTTCAAATACGTGACATTCTTGTGATGAGACCATTTGAGATTTATATATCAAAATGCACATTCACGTGGCTCTGTAACAGATCTCCAGCAAAATAAATCAGAGTTTTTGTTCCCCTCTGAGGCTTCGTTCCCTTGGGCTGACCTTTCCCGGTTCTCCCACCCTCCGTTGTGACCTTTTTCAGCGTGGCTCCTGGAACACTGCTAACCGCATGTTGCAGTCCTGCTGGTTCCCACTCTGTGCGCTGACTGTCCCCGGGGATAGTGCTGGAGAGGGACCAGGGCCGTCCAGGGCTCCTCTGTCACTCACCCTCTGCTTTGCTAACAGATCCGTCTTCTCCACGCCTTCCTCTCCAGCACACCCAGCAAGCTCAGCGACTGTCTTCCGCTGCACCTCCTAGTTCAAGTCTTCCTCTCCCAGGGACTGTGACAATTATCTTCTTCCAAAGTCCTCACCTGAGGGCCCTCTGTTAACCCTTTCCCAGCAGTCAGCCAGGGCACGTGGAACCCTGGGGCTCCAGTAGCCAGTGGCTCTGTCAGCTGCCTCCAACAGCTCCCCTGCCTAGCGACTTGGTAAATGGGTAACCTTGCTCTTTCCGCGCAAAGGAACATGGTTGGATGAGCACAGAGCTGTTGCTGCTTTAGCAAATCGAGATATCGGCCACTTGGCACCTCCACTGGGCCTGGTTGAGGCGGGTGGGGCAGGGGGAAGATGGGCACCAGGGTCTCCTCTTCCTTTTTGCCCCAGTCTGCCTGGAGACTTGGATTCACTCTGGGCCTGGGGAATGCAAGAGAGCGACAAGGCAGCTCTCCGAATCCTCTACGAGGAGACTTCAGAAAGTTCGCAGAAGCATGCAATGAAAAGAAGTTTATTTGGGTTGAAAAAAAAAATTACGAAGTCCACGCATATGCAGGGTCTTCAACAAGTTCATGGAAAATGCTTGTTATCAAAACACTCTGCATGGCTTTCAAACTTGTTTTGCTCCAAAGTAAATATACAAGTGCATTTAAAAAAAAAAAAGATTTATTTATTTATTTGAAAGGCAGTTACAGAGAGGCAGAGGCAGAGAGAGGTCTTCCGTCTGATGGTTCACTTCCCAGATGACCACAAGGGCTGGATCTGAGGCCTATTCGGAGCCGGGAGCTTCTTCCGGGTCTCCCACATGGGTGCAGGGGCCCAAGGACTTGGGCCATCTTCTACTGCTTTCCCAGGCCACAGCAGAGAGCTGGATCGGAACTGGAGCACCAGGGCCTCGAACTCGCTAGGGCACAGCACCAGCGCCTGCAAATGCACTTTCCCACAAATGTTTTGAACCCTCTCCAGGTGTCTGAGTTGGTGGGGGGAATGGTGTGGAGGGGTTCTTTGTCATCAGACAGGACCGTCCCTGTGCCCCTGGGAGCCCCCAAGAACCAACTTCTCCCAGGACCCCGTGGCTTTTTCCATTGAAGATCCGAGAAGGAGGGTCAGGGCTGCAGACGGCCAGCAGGTTTGAAAGCAGCTCCACCCCACCCCCAATCCACCCCTTTCACCCACCCCGCCCCCGCAGGTTCCCCCAGGCAACCGCACAGCTGTCCCCAAGTCCGATTTAATTCAATGTGTGTGCTCTGAATCCCAGAAAGGCAAACTCCCAAACAAAGAGCCGCTGCCTGCGCCCCGCCGCCCGCCCCCACGGGGCTCTGGGGCCAGTAGCGCTGGCCTGTCTAGGAGAGAAGGCGCCTGGGACGCGGAGCTGGCCTCGGAGCGCAGGAAGCGCGGGGCGCGGGGCTGGGAGCCGGCTGCCCGCGCGCTGACCCTGCCTGGGCGGGCGGGACGAGCCGGGTGCGCGCAGTGGGCGGCGGGCGGCCCCGCCAGCGCCTCTCCGCGCCGCTCCAGGCTCCGGCTCCAGTCGCTGCGTCCGGAGGAGCCCCGCAGACGGGTAAGTGGCGGTGGCGGCGGGAGAAGCGCGCCCGAGTGGAACGGGGAAGCGAGCGCCGGGGAAGGCGGAGGGGTTCCTGGCGAGGCGTCCCTGCCTGCCCCGCCCTGCGCCCCGCGCTCCCAAAGGCGGACCGGCCCGGGGCCAGGCCGAGAGGGCCGGACGGGGGCAAGGGGAAGCCGGCTTGCAGAGAGGCGCGCGGCAGGAGACCTCCAGGACACTCACGTGGTTGTGTGTCTGCAAGGCGTGTGCAGCGGCTGAACGCTAACTACGTGTCCGCGCTTGGGTCTTGGGAGAGAGCCCTGGGCCTCTGAAGGCCTTGTGCTGTCCAGTGTCCCTGGGTGCCTGTCTGCCTCGCTTCCTGGTGTCATTCATTTTGTCCACTCTGAATTCCAGGGTGACAGGTCCAGAGTCGTGTTAGCTGGCCATGTATCCCAGGCAACCCAGGTTTTGCTCAGTGCAGGGTTGTGCGTGCATTTGGTGGGCGTTTGTGGGAGCGTGACTGGGTGGGCCCTGTCACCTGCCTCTGCATGCCCAAGCCTGCATGTGCAGCTTGCTGGCTCCACATGGAGAACCCTGATGGGACTTTGTGGGAAGTATGTGTGTGTGTGTGTATAACCAGTGTTGTGTGCAGAGTGGATATGCGGGAGTTGCCTGGAAGAGGGCTCCCTTGGACTGGACAGGGTAGCATGATCACTGGGACAGAAGCTGCACAGGGCACAGGAGTGAATGCTGCAGGGGTCCCCAGTAGGTGGCACACGTTAGGAGGCGGGGTGGCCTGGCGGGATGCCTGACGCTGTCTAGGGAACCAGCTGGGGCAGAGAGTGAGGGTGGTATCCATAGTCTGTGTTTAATTTGTGGCCAGCTGGGATGTAGTGGAAAGCAGCTGTTGACATCTGAAGAGCTGGGTTAGCATCAGGACTTAGCAGTTGGTTTGTCAGTGGCACTGGTGCCTGGAGCCACCCTCTGGGTCTCGGTGGCTTTGTGTGCACAGTGGGACCCACAGCCCCTGTCCTGCCTCCCGAGCGGCGGGCGTCTGAGATGAGTGAGCACCAGAAAGTGCCGAGAGAGCAGCGCAGCCCCTGGAGCAAGGTCGCTGCCGGCCCCCACGTGCAGCCGAGCTGGTTCCGGGAGCGCACGGGTGGCCCGGAGTTGTTCCGTCTGGGGTAGTAGGGGGAGACATTGGCAAGCTGCTCCGTGTGATACTGAGCGAAATGGGAGTGCCTGCCCAGAGCCAGCTTTTTTGGACTCTGGGTGTGGAAAGTCTGTACAGGCCTGTGCTTTCCCACAGTTACTGCGTGAGTGCCTTCTGCAGCCTGGCTTTGATGCTCGTTAGAAATATTTTTATATTCAACAGAGAGAGACAAGAGCGCCTTTGGCCAGGTTTACTCCCTAGATGCCCACAGGGCTAGGCCAAAGCTTGGAACTCCCCAGTCAATCCAGGTCTCCCATGTGAGTGACAGGAATGCAATTACTTGAGCGGTCACCAGTGCCTCCCAGCGTGTGCATTGACAGGAAGCTGGAGTCAAGGGGTCAGAGCCGGACACTGAAGCCAGCCGCTCCCAGTGTGGGACGCAGGTGTCTTTTTTTTTTTGACAGAGTTAGACAGTGAGAGAGAAAGAGAGAAAGGTCTTCCTTTCCATTGGTTCACTCCCCTAAATGGTCACCACGGCCAGCGCGCTTTGGCCGGCACACTGCGCCAATCCAAAGCCAGGAGCCAGGTGCTTCCTCCTGGTCTCCCATGCGGGTGCAGGGCCCAAGTGCTTGGGCCATCCTCCACTGCACTCCTGGGCCACAGCAGAGAGCTGGCCTGGAAGAGGGGCAACCAGGACAGAATCGGTGCCCCAACCGGGACTAGAACCCAGGGTGCCAGCACCGCAGGTGGAGGATTAGCCTAGTGAGCCGCGGCGCCGGCCCAGTGCAGGTATCTTAACTGCTAGGCTGTTACAGAAACCTGGGCTGGGAAAACTCCCTCCCTTCAAACAGGCGCCAGAGACAGTGGAGGACCCAAGCAGTTTACTACCCAGCGGGCTCAGCTGGAATCAGTTCTTGAGAAATGAGCAACATCCCCAGTTTCTCACAGTATTTATAGGTTCAGCAGCATCACGCCTTAGCTGTTACAGCGTTGGTGGGTTTAAATTGCAGCCTGTGTGACTTAGGACCACACTTCCAATGGTCGGTGGGCCTGGTATGTTTGTAAAAAGAGATGCCAGGGGCAGATTTATTAGGACAGATTTATGACTGGAGTTTGTAGAAGCAGAACTTAGGACATCTTCCCTCCCTAGACCAGATAACAGTGGGCAGCTGCTTCGCTGGTTAATTTCGAGCAGCGACTTAAAGTTTGTGTTGGGAGGAGGGGTCCGCTTTTCTTTCTTTGTCTCTGGTTGCGCCGTGTTTCCTCTACAAGGCCACACACTGGCCCCTGACGCTGTTTAAATGGCCTTGCAGCACCTGACTTTCCAGAGAGCCTTTCTCCAGATGAACCCAGCAGGCTGTCTTGCTTTTATCCTGATGCCGCCCGATGAAGCAGGAGGAGCACTGTGCACAGTTGGCAGCCAGAGAGATAGGAGATGAAGCGGTTTTCCCCACCAAGGCCCCAGGTCTGGATTGTCCGCTGTAGAGCTCCTTGGGGGCTGAAGCCTTCAGTCCCAGGGCCAACCCTGAAAAGGGCTGAGGAAGGGTGGGAGGGAGAATCACACACAGACAGCATTGAGCATTGGGATGCCGTTGGGTGGTTTGCCCACCCCTGGTTGCAGAGACGTCTTTGCACTTAGAAGCTGTTTAGTAACTGTTCGCGAAAGGCAAGCGCTCTGGCAGGAGAACCTGGAAACCCCGGGTCAGGCAGTGGCTCGGCTCTCTGCCCATTACGTGCTGGGGAGAGTCATGGGACGCCTCTGGGTCAGCTTCTTCACTGGTCACGGTCGGCCGTCATTCCAGATTATACTTCTGATCTCAGCTTAAGCTCCGCTTCACTTGCTCAGAGAGGCCTTTCCTAATCCCCATCTAAAGTGGCCACCTCCCGGCCACCGTGATGTGGCCCTGATCTGTACCCTCCACTGCATCTGAACTCTGTGTCCTCTTACCGTGTGAATGCTGGGGGGGCTCGGGGCTGCCTTTACCCTGTCACCTGCCAGCCCACGGACACCTAGAATGCAGGAGGTGCTTGGAGCAGTGTTGGGATGTGAGCGAGCGAGCAGATAAATGGATGCGGAAGGGGTGCACCTGTGGTTTTCACCTGGCGCTCTTCAAGAGGGAGCGAAGCCCACAGGCTGGGCCTCGACAGCTCAGACTTAATCTGAGTCACAGGCTGGCTTCCAAGTGGGATTTCCTTTGAAGGAAAGGTTTCCCCACTAAAACAGTGCTGGGAAGCCATTGAGACTCACAGAGTCTCGTCAACGCCAAGGTGAAATGATAGTCCTGGGGTGGAAGCTGTGGACACTTGGCCTCCAGCCGGGACGGAGGCACTGATTCTGACACCCCGAAGACCTAATGCCACAGATCATTGCTGTTTGGCCCGTGGAGTTCATCCACTGATTATTTTTCTGCAACTGGTGTAATTTCCTGACTTTCTGGTTTAGGTTAATATGAAAGTGATTTGTGGGCGCTCTGCTCTCTGTGAGACAGGCTCTAGACAGGGAGAAGACATCAAACTCTACAAGGTGCGCAGGCCACGTGCACACACACCAATCTCGGAGAGCCTGCCCATTTAAAAAAATATTAATTTATTTGAAAGTCAGAGTTACAGAGAGAGAGAGACAGAAAGAGAGAGATTTTTCCATCTGCTGGTTCATCCCCAAGAGGTTGCAATAGCCAGGACTAAGCTGGGTCGAAGCTGGGAGCCAGGAGCTTCATCCAGGTCTCCCAGATGGGTTCATGGACCCTAGCACTTGGGCCATTTTCCTCTGCTTTTCCTAGGCCATTAGTAGGGAGCTAGATTGGAAGTGGAGCAATCAGGACCTGAACCTGTGCCCACATGGGAGTCGGACATAACAGGCAGTGGCTTTACCTGCTACGCCACAGTGCCAGCCCCGAGAGCTACCTGTTGAGGGCGCTGTGTCTGTCATCGACCTCTCTTGGGCATGTTACCAGGCAGACTGCCCAGATGTGCTGCACACCGGCAGGTGCCCACTGAGATGGCTTTCCTGGAGTAGTTGGCATTGGAGAAGAGCCCTTGTGCCGAGAGCAGAGCGGAGTGCCGGGACAGCTGTGTCCTGTTCCACAGCCAAGCTCCCTGCAGCTTCCAAGCTCGCCTCCGTCCAGCACACTCCCTCGTCTTGTCTCTTCCTGTAAATGTAGCTGCAGACAACAGTGGGACTGCTCTGCCCGGCACTGTGTCCACATTTGGGGCACAGACCACAGGTTTGCCACCACCTTTCCTAAACCCTGTGGGAGGAGCGCTCGTGGCCAGCCTGGGTGGGGATGGAGGCCCTGTGGCTTTGGCTGGTTACTCAGGGCAGGTTGTTGAGGAGGGAGCCCGTGGGGGAAGGAAGGGCCATGTACTGGAAGCTGGGATCCTCTCTTGATTCCTCTGGACTGCTGACCTGGCTTCTCGTGCGAGTCCGTGCTCTGGCTGACTCATGTGGGTTCTGCTTCCGGGACAGCGTGGAGCAGTGCAGAGGGGGAGGTGGGTGATCTGTATGCAATGTGCATATCTGAGGGGGCTTCAGGAACATCCTGGAAAGATGGAATTAAAAGTTTCAGGCCAGCACCACAGCTCACTGGCTAATCCTCCGCCTGCGGCGACGGCACACTGGGTTCTAGTCCCGGTTGGGGCACTGGATTCTGTCCTGGTTGCTCCTCTTCCAGTCCAGCTCTCTGCTGTGGCCCAGGAAGGCAGTGGAGGATGGCCCAGGTCCTTGGGCCCTGCACCCGCATGGGAGACCAGGAGGAAGCACCTAGCTCCTGGCTTCGGATCGGCGCAGCGCACCGGCTGTAGTGGCCATTTGAGGGGTGAACCAACGGAAAGGAAGACCTTTCTCTCTGTCTCTCCCTCACTGTCTAAC